TTTTTTTTTTTTTTTTGGAACTGGTGTTACTTGTGTATACTGCATTAACACTTAAAATATTAACCGTAAAAGTCAAAAGGCACAGGTTTTAGGTTCTTATCTCATGACAAAGAACACACTTGATGTAAAARACAAGAGGTTTTCCTAAGTGGGGTCAGGCTGACAGTTGTATTTTGTATGGATTCATGGGTATTTTTCTCTTGCATAGACCCATATATCAAAGCAGACTGAGGGGCGGAAAGCAGAGGAAAAGGCCAGGAGTGTGGTGCACAGCAGCTCTCTGGAAAATATGAAGACAAACGAAGAATTGGCTGTGAATAAGAGAAAGTGTTATCAGTGTGGACAGGAAAAGAGCTCCGTTATTGATACCTCACTCCAGGAGAGAAAGCTTCTAAAGTWCGGAAGGAGCGTAGTCAGGAAGGAGGGAGGACAGTCTTTATCAAACTGACACTGCTCTCTGACTGCTCACACAACTCTAATGGTTTGCTGGTCAGGCTTTGAACCTCAAACTTGCTTAGATTTCTAATGTGTCTCTGATTGAATGATCTGATCTTAAAGGGGTAGTTTAGTCATTTTTGAAGGAACCTCATGTTAAATAGTCATTACTAGTTAGTACCACATCAGTCATGGAACACAAAGTGTGGAGAAAACGGCAAATGTCTCTGTCATGACAAATAGCTAGCCAAACAATGTCAGGGTTTTTTTTTTTACTATTAATTTTTAGGCTTTTAAAGGAGACATACTGTAAGCAAAATCCACATTTTTAGCTGTTAAATGCATTTTGTTGTGTACTTGGAGTCTCAATTCAATACTTTTGCGTTCCCACGCAAAAGTATTGCGTTACCTCGCAATACCTTTTGCGTTCCCTCGCAAAAGTCGTTAAACACTGTTGTGCCTGCCGGTTTATTAACAAACTCACATGTTCACCATTAACGAATTAGCCTACTGCTTTAATTCAGCTTCAGAATGAATATATCACACAGCCACGGATGGAAGTGTGTCATATGCCGATATTTTTAACACAGTGCAGCCACGCATCATCAATGTCAATTTCATGAACTGTGGCGAAACATCCTGTTTTTGTTACCGGATATTTCAAAATAAAAGTCCGATTTAATTCAGTTTATATACAAATCAAACTTTTGAGTGGAAATGCAAAACAACGTTGCGAGGTAACGCAAAAGTATTGCGAGGTAACTCAAAAGTATTGCGAGGTAACGCAAAAGTATTGCGAGGTAACTCAAAAGTATTGCGAGGGAACGCAAAAGTATTGCGAGGTAACGCAAAATATTGCGAGGTAACTCAAAAGTATTACGAGGCAATGCAAAAGTATTGCGAGGGAATGCAAAAGTATTGCGAGGTAACGCAAAATATTGCGAGGTGACTCAAAAGTATTGCGAGGCAATGCAAAAGAATTGCGAGGGAACGCAAAAG